AGGGCCTGACAGGGAAAAAGCTGCCCAGGTGGGACCTAGGAAGCTCATCTGTGGCTCCCCTGCCTGTCCTAAGCCCCAGCCGAAGCCTGGCCATGTGCCTGCCGCAGAAGTCTGTTGCTGCCAGGAGCCGCTGTCATCACACATAGCACCAGCCCTGTCCTGATGTCCCCCTCTGGGGATAGATGCCCTACTTCAGAAGGCCACAGCATCTGGGCATGGCTCAGGAATTGCTGTCCCCCCAAGGCACAGAGACAAGGGCCCAACTCGCACCCTGGCACACACATGGCCCCACACCACCCCTGGGTACCACCCCATGAGGTGGGGGCTGTGGTGGTTCTGTAGTGCTCTCTCCAATTGACACAGGCTCAACCGCCTCCCCAGGACCACCAGGCCAGGGACACCGGGGACCACAGCCAGCCCTGGCCTCGGCCTGATGGTCAGGGGTCCCAGGCTTGCCTGCAGCCTCCCAAGGTTGGGTACATGGGTACCAGGACTGGGATGCAGAGCACAGTTGGAGCCAGGGTGAGGAGCTGGGGCTGCCAGCCTCTGCAGCCTCTGCAGGCCCTGGCTCCTGGGCAGAGCCCCCACCCACCCCGACCGGGTTCTCCGCCTCTCCAGGCAGCAGGGACGCCCACAGCATCAATGATTGATGTTTCTTTGAGGCAGCCGCAGCAGCATAAGCAAAAATAGCTCTTGCCATTGTCCCTGCCCTAGCCCAGCCCAGCCAGAGGGGCACAATGGGGTGGTTGGGGCACTTGGACCTCCACAGCTGCCCCCCACCCTGTTTAGCAGTGCTGGGGCTCTGGGATGGACTGAGATGTCCTTTCTGAGAAGGGCCTGGGAGGGCCACATGGGCTCTTTCCCCTGACCACACTGCACCCACCCCCTTCATGGCCTCTTGGGGAGTTGTGGCTTATGTCCTGTACCCCCACTTTAATGGGGACCTACCCCTCTAGCCAGTTCTCCCCCAGCTGATGGAGCCATTTAACCTTGAACACTGCCTGCCCTGCCCACCCACGTGGATATCCCATGTCATGATGCTGACCTGAGGAGCCAGGGGCCACCTATCAGCTACCTGGGCTGCCCTCACCCCTCTCCTTCAGCCAGGGTGAGCACCGAATGTCGGGATCACCTCGGCTGCCACCTCCGAGTCCTGACTCACCCACGGAGCACTTCTTCAGTGGGGTCACCAGGTGTATGAGTGTCCTGTGGCCCCTGTGACAAATAACCACACACACAGTGGTTTAGCCCCACATGCATTCATTCTTTTACAGTCCCAGGGGTGTGTATGGGGTTGGGGGGCTGTGTTCCTTCTGAGGGTTTCAGGGGAGATCCATTCTTTGCTTTTTTCAGCTTCTCGAGGCCGCCTGCATTCCCTGGCTCCTTGCTCCGCATCACTCCAACCTCTGCTTCTGTCCTCCCATCCTCTCTCAGACTCTGACCCCCCTGCCTCCCTCTTTAAAAAAATTTTAATTTTTTAAAATTTATTTTTTTATTGCATTTATTGGGGTGACATTGGTTAGTAAAATTATGTAGGTTTCAGGCGTACAATTCTATAAAACATCATCTGTATATTGTATTGTGTGTTCACCACCCCAAGTCAAGCCTCCTTCCATCACCATCTATCCCCCTTACACACTCTTCCACCCCCATCTCCGTCTGGTAAGGACCCCCGTGGCCACACTGGGCTCAACAGCATAGCCCAGGACCACCTCCCATCTCAAGAGCCTTAATAATGTCTGTGAAATTCCTTTTACCTTGTAAGGTCCCATATTCACAGGTTCTGGGGGTCAGGACGTGGACTTGTCTAGGACACCAGGTAATGCGTGTGCCTGGGTCATTTCACCCTGCACCCTGAGGGCCTCAGTGCTGTCCTCCCCCTCTCCCGAGGTCCAGACAGGGAGTGGGGAACTTCAGAAGAGCGGGCTCTGGCGCTGGCGACACTTGTCACTCAGGCCTTTGGGCCTGGGCCTCAGCTGCCCGGCACAGGAGGACAGCACTCCTCCACCGGTTCCTGCTCCCTGGGCTGAGAAGGCAGCAAGGACGGCGGGTGGACAGCAGGACCACCTGGGGCCGAGGCTGCCCGCGGGTGACATCGAGGCAGGAGAGCGCCAGCTGCGGTCGCCCCTGCAGGGCCGCCCCGGGGCTGCCCCCTGCCGGGCGGGCTGACCGCGCTGCTCACGCGCTGCGGGGCTGGCTGCT